TCTTAAGTATTGTCTTCAGCAGAAAAGTGAACAGTTTATCAACAACTTAATAAGCAAATTGAACAATTTGACTCAAAACGATCGATCCAACTCAACTCAAACTATAAATTGAAGGAGTTGTGTTGTGTTAAATTAAGAAAAAGATTCAGAATGGATGAATTGAAATTATACAATCATTTTTGAAACATCAAAGAACCGGTTGACCTAAATATACCTCGTAGGATTTACAGATTCACGCTCAATAGTGTCAGAATTTATGGGATATAGTTATGGATAGAGTTGAAAATTCTTTTCTAGAAGTTCAAATGATTTGACCATCTTTTTTGCTTATATGATTCAACTTTTTTATTTTAGCTTGCATTCTACATAGTCGAATGGGATTTACGTGGAACAAATGTCTTCTTAGAATTATTACTTACCTCAGAAGTTGATCAATCGAAGGAACAACTCGCGAGGAAACATTCTCAAAGTTTGAGGAGTTTCTAGTGATTGCAGCTCGAAATTCGAGTGCTCAGGTTCTTAAAAAATTCTTTGTTCATAGGTCAAAACTGAGTGAAACGCACATAATTCGAGAAATGAAGGCTAGAAAACCAAACTATTCTAGAGTGTTCAATAAATCACCGAGTTCGATCGTTTGAGCATATAGTTGATCCAAAAGCGATTGGACACTTTGGGGATGTTTCCTCGTCACTATCAGTCGTAAAGTGCGGCAACTTCAATTTTCTCAGATCGAATAAAGTTAAATCGAAGAATCAATACAGTTTCGAAAGCCTTTTATGTTAGAGCACGCTCTCCAATCTACACAAAACAATCAACAGAATTGAATTTTACATTTACTTTCTGTTTCTTTATGATTTCTATGCTCAATTAATAGTTTGAGTCAAATCATTGAAGTGTTTGCTTGGCTTAATATAATACAACAAAGTCTGAGATAGATTGTTAGTTATCTTAAAACTCTGCACTAGAAATTTGTGAGCCGTGATATGCCACCTAATAAGATTTTTAATTGACAAATAGAAAATAAAATCTATTGATTCAACAATCAATAGTTTATTTATATACCAGTAATTATCTCCTAACTAGAGAACACAAAAATACCATTACTGTCGTCATCGAGAAAAATGTATATATGTACGGCGTAAAAAGAATTATCACCGTGTGAGCTCTCTGTTTCTCAAACTTAATTGATCAGTT